GCAAGGGGATGGGAGGGATGTTGCTAAACCTTTCATGTTCTTGTAATTTTTTTTGTAGGATTAAATAAGTAGAATGACCAACCACACTTCTATGAGATATTTTGTTCTGATGGGATTTTCAGATGACTGGAATTTGCAATTTTTTCATGCTGTGATATTTCTCCTTGTTTACTTAATCACTTTAATGGGGAATTGTCTCATTATAATGGCAGTGACATTTGATCACCATCTCCATAGCCCAATGTATTTCTTTTTGGCAAACATTTCCTTGGTAGATATTTGTTCTATCTCTACCACACTTTCCAAATCAATAGCTGTATCTCTGACAAACAACAAGGAAATTTCTTTTGGTGGATGTGTCACACAGGTCTTTTTCATGGTTACATTTGTTGGTAGTGAGCTGGCTTTGTTAACTATCATGGCTTATGACCGTTATGTGGCCATCTGCAACCCTCTGCAGTATAAGATGATCATGAATGGGAATGCCTGCATTCAAATGGCAGCTGCCAGCTGGATTTGCAACCTGACCCATGCAGTGCTGGAAACGGATCACCTTTAGAATAAACTTCTGTGACTCTAATATTTCTGTGACATTCCTCAGTTACAAAAGATTTCTTGCACTGATATAAAAGTCAATCAAATTCTGATACTTGTACTAGGGTTGTTTTTGGACTCTTTTTGTTTTGCACTCATCTTTGCTTCTTATGGTTATATTTTCTCCACCATAATTAAAATGCCATCGGTCCAAAGCCGGCATAAAGTTTTTTCAACTTGCACCCCTCATCTGACGGTCTTTTCTGTATTCATCATCACAGCTGTGTTTTCATACATGAGGCCGAAATCACTTTCATCTTCTACAGTGGATTTGCATTCTGCTGTTTTTTTATACCATTTTGCCACCGATTTTGAATCCCATCATTTATAGTCTCAGAAATAAAGACATCCAAAAGGCTGTCTTGAAACTACTGCAAAATGTCATATACTGTACAGTATAGATTGTTGGCAAAATATCAAATTTTTATAAAGAGTAAACATACCTGCAATCCAAATGGCTCCCTTCTTTATGATCTCCTGGAAGGCCTTAAATATCCGACAATTTTTTCCAGCTTTGGAGTAGAGTCACTGTGGAGCTCTTATCAGAAATATTTTGTATATGACATGGAGGGTTTCTGTGTGTATGTGTGTGTGTGTCTGATAATGCACTTTTGTTCATTTGTTTATTGTTTCTTATTCTTTTGTAATATAAGCCATTCTGAGTCATTTTGGAGTTGGATAGATTTAAATATTTCCAAATAAATAAATTGTATCAACACAGAAGTGGTAGGAATTAATGCATCAAGTATCATTTGAATTAACATATTTTAAGATAAAAAGGATTTAATTAGGTAGAACTCTTTTTCCAAGTTAAATGTGATTATTGGCCACTATTTTAAATAGAATCTTTTAAGAAAATTATTCTAGATCTATTACTTGACATAAATTCTACATTTTCTTGACAATTTTCATTGATAAATTTTGTTTCTGAATAGCATTCTAGGCAATAATATGATTTTGATATATTTAGCCAGAATAGCCTGCAACTAATAAATATATTTTTAAAGAAAAGTGTTTGATACATTTGATTTTAGTTTTTCATATTTCATATTTCTTTTTTTTATTTTAACCAAATTAAACATAACAAAATATTTTGGCTTTTTTCCCCCATAAAAAAGTACTTACAACCACATACATTGACCAAATGTTATTTAATTATTATCATTTGAGGTAATTATCTTTATAGAGAGCAGAGAAAACTATAACATATAAGAAATTATTGATATAAAAAATAAAGGAAAACAAAATATATCTAGTTTTACATCAATTAAGTACATAATTATAGTAACGTTTGTTTTCAGTTTGTAATTATATATAAGAAGGCTCAGTATTAACATCAGAGAATCATCTGTTAACTTTATATTCATGAATATTTTTTTTTGGATGTCCTGAAGAAGATCAGAACATATACTCTTCTTTTTTTCTTTTCTCTTTGATATTTGATAACATTTTGTGTCACCAAACACACCAAGAGACAAAGGATTAGTAGCCCTTTCTGTCTCCCTTTTAAGCCATCAGAAAGCTCCAAAGATGATTTTGGAATTTCCTAGAGTTTACTGTTCTCCAGAAAGATGGCTGAGCTGAAGGTCACAGCAAATTATGCAGCAAATTATTCATTGCTTAAGTTAGAGAAAAAAATCACAAAGTTTGTTCAGATTATTATAAAATATAAATTTATGATGTAAATTTACAGAATATCATTGTTCTGTATCAGTTCTTTTTGCTTTATCCAATATATGCTTTGGTAAATAAAGAACACACTAAAATAACTGCTCTTCTTCTTATTAGACAACTCTTTATCTAATCTCTTCTGATTTCCAACTTGATCATCTGTGATCAGAAATAACATGTTCTGGACTGTGACAACATTATATGGATACTTCAGCTGTGAGTCTCAAAGAATACTCATTCTTTGGTGTTATCATAGCTGTTCTATGTTTGAAAGATTTTACATATTACAATCTTGATCCTGTTTTAAGAGAATGATTCAGTTGCAAGAATGATTAAACTTTATTTCTAAGAAAGCAATGGCAATGTGTTTAACATGTTGAATAGAATTTTAGCATACAAAATGAGGAAACATTTTTAGACATTTAGCAATATTCCATAACAGAAAACTTATTGAATGAGCAGACAGTGGGTGCAATGTCTCAGTGGTTAAAATCTCTGAGTTGTCAGGCAGAAAGCTTACAGCCTAGTTCAAGACCCAACTACTATGTGACGGGTGAGCTCCCATTACTAGTCCCAGCTTTTGCCAACCTAGGAGTTTGAAAGCATGCAAATGCGAGTAGATAAATAGGCACCACTTCAGTGGAAATATGACCATGGAAGTGTCTTCAGACTACATTGATTCCCTTGGCTAAGAAACGAAGATGAGCACCACCCCCTAGAGTCAAACACAACTGGACAGGGGAAATCTTTACTTTTATCTTTAGACAATGATCATTATTCAGAGAAAAAAGATTACTTGTACAAATGGTATTGTTATGGGGACCAGGCAGATAAGGTGCAGAGATTTGATAAAAGACACAACAACATTGCATATTTCAGAATGTCCATCCTGATTAAGATAAGCATTGTCAGATTGAGTAAGAGTTGTAAAAGGCAATACTCAAAATTGAATTTAAAGGCAGAATTTAGGGATTCCAGCACAGGCTGCTTTCAAAGGGTGAAATAATAGTGATATATGTTCATTTAAAGGAAATAAGCTATCCCAAGATGGACATTTAGACAGAAATCTGAATTGTTGTCTTGATCATCTCCTAAATTGGAATTTACAGCATATTTGGAGGAATTCATAATTAACTGTGCTTGCTTTAGCATTCTGTAGAAATCAGGTGACCTTTTAACAAACAAACAAAATGAAGCTAATAGAACATACTTACTTATGTGTACCCTCATTAAACTGAAATAAATAACAGATTACAGATAATCAGAGTTGGAAGAGTCCTTGTAGGTCATCTAGTCCAATCCCCCGCCCAAGTGGGAGACATTTCTGACAAATGGCAGTCCAATCTCTTATTGAGAGTTTCAAGTGATGACTTTCCCACAACTTCAGAGGGCAAGTTGTTCCATTGGTTGATTGTTCTCATTGTCAGAAAGTTTCTCCTTATTTCCAGGTTAAATCCCTCCTTGTTCAGTTTCCATCCATTGTTCTTTGTCTGGCCTTTGGATGCTTTAGAAAATAGCTTGACCCCTTCCTCTCTGTGGTAGCCCCTCAAATATTGGCACTGCTATCGTGTCTCCCCTGGTCCTTCTCTTCACTAGACTAGCTATGTCCAGTTCATGTAAATGTTTTTCATATGTTTTAATCTCCAGTCCCCTAATCATCCTGGTTGCTCTTCTCTGTACTTTTTTTAGAGTCTCAACATCTTTTTTACAGTGTGGCGAACAAAACTGGCTTTCAGCTTGTCAATGTCTGATCCTTGCAGAGATTTAATTTTCACAACTCAATTACAATTTATTTTTATCAACCACAGTGGTAGTAGGGAGATTCCCTTGATGTTGTAGTAAATTCTGCACTGAGCAAACCTAGGCAGGATGAATTTACTTCTTTACTGATAAAGTGATCTGAGGTTGTTTAGGTTAGAGAACAGAAAGAATGAAACTTTGTGTAAATGTGATATAGTAAACTACAAACTGGTGTTTGAAAATAGCCAGCTCCTTATTTTATTTTATGGTTTAATGTGTGCTGTTCAACTAAGAAATTGTGATTCTACAATGCAGCTCCCAAGACCAGAGTGAACAACAATGATTCTTTGTGGAATTAATATGGTCCCCAAGGAATGATTCTGAAATATTACAGGAAACAACAGTGGCAAAATAGTTCTTCCCTACTACATATGAATACACCAGTCAGATTACAGCCAAGAAGAATGTCACACTGATTTTTAAAGAGAAGCAAGGTAAATACATTTTTAGTTTTTCTAAATCCTTAACCAGTGTTTCTAAACATGCTTAGCATTTTGGTTCAGGTTGGTTCAGTTTAATGTAATTATGAAAATTCTACATAAAGAGAAACTTTAGTGCTAAATTTTAAATATAAATAAAAAATGAGGCATTTATTCTCTTACTGAAATAGGGGAAACCTATGCTGTTATCATTATTAGATTTATATTATTATATATTTAATAGTGTTATGATAAGAATATGAACAACATCTGTCTCTGGAGACATTTGCAAGACCTATTTGAATGACTGATTAAGTGTCACGTACATTATCTCCTTAAATAATAGTAATAATATTTTTGATTGATTAGAATTTTTTATCTGTGGGATCCATATTGTTGATATTCCAATCTTGCAATATTGTTAGATGAGCAATTAGAAAATTGGATGGAAAATGTTATGAAATTTATATTCTCCACAAATTGATTAATCATTTAACTACTTTCCACAGGATTCAAATAGACGAAATGACCAACCAGTCTTCTATGTTTGTTCTGATGGGATTTTCTGATGACCCAGATTTGCAAATGTTGCATTCTGTGATGTTCCTTATTGTTTACATAACAGCCTTAATGGGGAATTGTCTCATCATAATTGCGGTAGCAACTGACCACCACCTTCATGGTCCAATGTACTTCTTTTTGGTCAACCTTTCCCTTTTAGATATTTGTTCCATCTCCACAACAATCCCAAAATCCATAGTTGTTTCATTGACAAATAACAAAGGGATTTCCTTTGCTGGATGTGTCACACAGATCTTTTTAATGGTCATGTTTGTTGGTGGGGAGCTTGCTCTGTTAACTCTCATGGCTTATGACCGTTATGTAGCCATCTGTCGTCCTCTGCATTATATGCTGATCATGAATTGGAATGCCTGCATTCAAATGGTAGCAATCTCCTTCATATGTAATCTGATCCATGCAGCATTAGAAACTAGTGTGACTTTTAAATTAAACTTCTGTGGGTCCAATGCAATTGGCCAATATTTCTGTGATATTCCTCAATTACAAAAGATTTCTTGCACAGATACAAAAATCAATCAAATGTTGATCTTTGTTGCTGGGTTCTTTTTGGACTCATTTATTTTTATATTCATATTTGTTTCCTATGCTTATATCTTCTCCACAGTGATGAAAATGCCAAAAGTTAAAAGCAGATATAAAGTTTTTTCTACCTGCACTCCCCACTTAACTGTTTTTTTTCTATTTATGACTACTGCAGTATTTTCCTATATGAGGCCCCAATCGCTCTCTACTCCTTCTGTGGACTTGCTTTCTGCTGTTTTGTACACAACGTTGCCACCAATTTTGAATCCTATTATTTATAGCTTTAGGAACAAGGACCTACAAAAGGCTCTCATAAAAATGCTCAAAAGAAAAAGCATTTCATAGTACAACTGCAATCAGTAATCTTATAAAATTTATGACTGTGATGTGATGTAACATTTGCAACTATGTGTCTTTGTGTTCATGACTAATGTATTTCATTAAGAGTGATTTCTTTTATTCAGAGTTTTAATACTTGTTTCACTATTTCAATTATTTAAGTACCAAACATAAATCCCATCCTTCTACCAGGAACCGGCAGGCGCCATGCATGGTGTTTCTGCCTGCTGTTTTTCTCACAACAACAATTATTTCAGATAGATTTGGTTAAGAGAATATGATTGATCGGAAGTCATCCAATGAACTTCCAGAAATGAGAATCAACCTGAATTTGGATCCCCCTTATTATCGAACATCTTAACTATTCACCAGGGTTAAAATTATAGAGTTAATTATTCTAGCTTCCTTAATGAAATTTATAATTTTAACTCAAAATGTTAACTTTAACATTTTAATTGTTATTATCGTGTTTTATATTTTGATGTTTAATTGTAAAGTCCTTCTTTGAGGGATATATTCAGAAATATGAAATATAAATAAAGAAATATGAGAGGGGTGACAGGGGAGTGAGGGAAAGGGAGAGGGAGGGAGAGATGGGTAGTCCTCTTCTGTGGTATGTTCTAGAATGATAGCTACAGTTTTTAAGAAATAACAGATCTATTCACATTTGTAATTCAAATGTAAGGATCTGATTAATATATGTTTCATATTTAAATCTCTGTCTCCTTCACCTTCTGTCTCTTCATCTGTCTGTCTGTCTATCTTTCCATCTGTTTTCTGTCTGACTCTATCTATCTATCTATCTATCTATCTATCTATCTATCTATCTATCTATTTCTCTTTTATGAGACGATGACCTCTTAAACAATGGGAATATCCATCAATATCTAAAATGACTTCATATACTAGAAAGATCTGATGTTTGTTTTAATTTTGTCATGGTTTGTTCCTGGTTTGTTATTCACATGATCTTTATTTTTCAGTTGTTCCTTTTTTAAAAGTTTTATTGCGTGTGGAAAAAAAGTACAAAAAAATACAGAAAGGAAAACAGAGAAATTTCGGGTGTGGTCAAAAAGGAGAAGGAATTATAAAAGAGAGTAATGTGACTTTCTTCAGTGTAGATACAAATCTAAAATTCAATAAACTTCTGAAACAAGTTAAGTCATAATGTTCAATACTTATAATCAATAAATGAACCTAATCAAATTGCAAATTGTTTCTTCCCATTTCACCCAAAAAATCTAACAGTGTTTTCCAAGTAGAGATGAAACTAGATATTTTTCTTTTTTCTAATCATATCACTCAGAACTATTGGGAACTGGTGGCATAGAAATTTGTCAAATACACTTGATAAATAAATGGAACTTTATTTAATCTGGTAATCATCTATCGACTAAAATTCAATTGAAGATTTGCTTCCATATACAAACATGGATTTTCTTAAAATCAGAGCTCTTTTACTGTGATAGTTTATTTATATTATATAGATATAAAATATCCAATTTGATATCTATATAATATAAAAATCAATGTATTGATTTTTACAATAATTAAATATAAGTTTTGAAACTGCTAAACTATTATGAAACTTTTTGGATTTGTTTTAATAAATCTAAAAAAGATGCAATCTACATAGACTTCTGTAAAGCCTTTGATTCAGTGGTACACGACAAACTACTCCTAAAACTAAAATCTTATGGTATCTCTGGACACCTGCATAACTGGATAGAAGCATTCTTGTCAAAGAGACAACAAAGAGTCAAAATTGGGAGCGTCCTATCAAATTATTTACCTGTCAACAGTGGTGTCCCCCAAGGCAGTGTTCTAGGACCAACTCTCTTCATACTCTACATAAATGATCATATCAAGAGCAACTGCATTCTCTTCACTGACAATGTAAAGCTATTCAACACCACAGACAATACTGCTACCCTTCAAAGAGACCTCTACTATGTATCAGAATGGTCAAACAAATGGCAACTTCAAATCTCAACAAATAAATGTTCTGTCTTACATATTGGCAAAAAAAATCAGAAAACAAAATACAGGCTGAATAGTCAAGACCTTGTTGATGATCCAAACGCTGTCAAGGATCTTGGAGTACTCATCTCTAATGATCTAAGTGCTAGAGCCCACTGTAACTACATAGCCAAAAAGGAGTTAAGAGTTGTTAACCTAATCTTACGTAGCTTTTTCTCTGGTAATATTACAATAATAACTAGAGCATACAAAACATTTGCTAGACCAATACCCAAATACAGCTCATCAGTCTGGAACCCACATTACGTATCTGATATTAGCACAGTTGCGAAAGTCCAGAAATATTTTACAAGAAGAGTTCTCCACTCCTCTACTCATTGTAGAATACCTTATGCCACCAGACTTGAAATTCTAGACCTAGAAAACCTAGAACTACACTGCCTTCGGTCCGATCTAAGTATAGTATATAAAATCATACATTGCAATGTCTTATCTGTCAATGAATACTTCAGCTTCAACCATAACAACACAAGAGCAAACAATAGATACAAACTCAAGGTTAATAGCACCAAACTTGATTGCAGGAAATATGACTTCAGCAAAAGAGCGGTCAATGTCTTGAATACTCTACCTGACTCTAAGATTTAGATTTTTAGATTTGTTTGGGGATTTCTTCCCCAAACCCCCAAAACTTTAACCTTAGATTGTCTCCTAGTGACCTCACACCTTTCCTAAGAGGTCTGTAGGGGGCGTGCATAAGCACACCAACGTGCCTACCATCCCTGTCCTATTGTTTCTTTTATTTATTTTTATTTTTCTTATATGTATCCATGTATTCATAACTGTTTTTACTTATACCTATTATCTGTAAGCAAGTGACAAAAATAAAATAAATAACAATAAAAATAAATTAACATTTTCAATGGTATTCCATTGACCTATCTGTATATGAAAATGTCCATTTGACTGAAGTGAAATGGTTCTATCTTTATGTTTTGATTCACATTATTGAAGCAGAGAAGCTCAATGTTTGCCAGAATTTCGAGATGAAGTGATGCATTGTTCTGAAGCCATTGGTAGCCCTTCAGTGGGATTTGTGGATAAATAAGACCCTTTCTGTGCCTCTTATTGACACACAGACAAACAATACTTGCCCAATCTTCATCATCTACAAATAACAATAGCAATAGCATATACTTAAACTTCACAGTGCTTTTACAACTCTCTCTAAATGGTTTACAGAGTTAGTAATATGCAATCTGGGTCCTCAATTTACTGACCTAGGAAAGATGGAAGGATGAGTCAATCTTGTACAACCAATATTTATACACCCACATAAACTGACATATTTATTTCTTTATTTATTTCCCACTTTTATTACCTTTACAAATAGGATCTTCCTCTTCCTATTTTCCCTACAACAACAACCCTGTGAGGTGAGTTGGGTTGAGGAAGAGTAACTGGCCCAAAGTTACCCAGCTGGCTTTCATGGCTAAGGCAGACTAGCCTGATGCCTTAAAGATCAAACAGGCTTTCATATCATAATTGCCTTTTTCCAATACATAGTATTTGAGAATTGCATGGCTCTTTAGTGGGTTTTATTCACCTCTCATAAATGTTTGTGATCATGTAAAGAAAACCAAGTTGACTTCCAAGTGTCCAGAATCAAAAATATTTGTTGTTTTTTTGTATGTATTTTACCTTTTGTCCAACTCCTTACTTAACTGCAGTCAAGTGGGACTGCTTCAGATGCAATTTTAGAAATAAAGAGGCATACAAATCTATTTATTTATTCATTTATACATGTATAACATGTATATATTTCTATCTTTCCAGGTATTTAAAAATAATTCCAAAATACATTCTTATGCAAATGTGGATCCCATGTAAATATTAAAAATTAGAAGTTACCACAGCAATGAAGAAAGTAATGTAAAAGATATTAGCAAATTGTCTATTTGTTAATAAAACTCTCCATAATGTTGTGAGACAAAGAAAGTCTCCAAGGAGCAATTCTTTGAAGAATCACAGAAAACAATTAAGAATTCCAAAACACCATCTTGTTTGCTTTAATAAGGGTCATATTTACATACAGGAATGCATTGTCTTCTAAAGTAAATTTGATTAAGTACAAATCTAACAGGTAACAGTATCTAGGATGAAAAAGAAATGAATCAATCCTATAAAAAGTGTAGCATTGAGGTAAATCTTATTGGTTGAAACTGCTGCTTTTGCTAAAATGAATTATATTTTACAATTAAAAGAAGATAATCTATAGAAAAAATGTAATGGGAAACATGGGAAACTCTATTGCTGATTTGTAGGTAAAGATCTATGTTATAAAATGACAATGACTTCTGAAAAACATAACACAAAATTGAGAATGTCTCAATATCTTCCTATCCTTTGTAGAATATACGTATTTTATTAAGAGCCATATTCAAGTTGCTAATCTGAAAATTAATCTGATCCCAGGAAAGATCATGACTACTAGGATGTTAATAAATAAATAAATAAATAAATAAATAATAAATAAATAAATAAAAGAAGAGATGGAATTGTAATCAATGTCATGTGAATATGATTTGAATTTTATCATACAAAGAGATGAAACTATTTTAGATATTTAGCAATATTCCAGAAAGAAGATTTATTGGGAGTGAAGACAATGACAGTTATTCAGAAGAATAAGTTAAAACTTTAAACTTAAACTTAACTGAAAAGTTAAACAGTAATAATTGATTAAAAAATAAGAAACATAGATTAATAATAATTATTGATTCTATTATGTTACTACAGCATCTATTAGAAGATTGTTATGCACTTATCAATATTCAAGACTATTCCATAGGAATAATTTCTTCTCTTCCTGGCTCAGCTCTACTTTTGTGCAATGGGTGATCTATTGATATTTAACAAAAGAACAAAAGATGTCAAATCTTCTCAGCTGTGTTATAGAGATTCCTCTGGAAGTTTGTAGCTTGGGCATGGCTAATTTCCTATTGGCAGGAATTCCTGCCCTCATC